GAGTCTCACCTTTTCCTAATTGCAGTAAATACCAAGATGGTGCCTTTCGAAGAGTAAGGCTTTACAAGTAAGTTTGAATCCTGAGAATGATCGTGAAGGGCCCTTTCTCACTCCGGACCCCCAGAAGGGTGGCCAAGTCCCTGACCCTCTCTAAGCCCTGTAGTTAGGTGAAGTGAAGTGTGGTTTTGAGTGGGGCAGAAGCCAGGTGAAAAGGTGGTTTTATGGAGGGGAGCTTCTGTGCGAATGCTCTTCTTTCTTTCCTTTCACGGTAATGAATACTAAACCCAGAGCCTCCACTCTAAGCTACATCCAGGTCTTTTTATTTTTTAATTTGAGGCAGGGTCTCATTAAGTCATTAAATTTGCCAGGTTATGCTCAAACTTATAATCCTCCTGCCTCAGCCTCCCAGGCTGCTGGGATTACAGATGTGCACCATCATGTGCAACTACAGGCTGCTTTCATGAAGTTAAGCAGTGAGATAGAAAAGGCAAAACGTACCCAGAAATTTCTCATCTCTTAGGGAAGCACATTCCAAGGCTGCCAGTAGTTGCCTACAATCAGACAGTACAAAAATCTCATACATATCTACTAGGTTTATATATGTAATATATATATTCATAATGCACATTGTATATTATAAAAGATAATTTGAAAATTAAGCACTTCTGTGAGTGACTAACAAAACTAATAATTTAAAAAGAACAATTATAAAAATCATTATGTAATAGAATTTATTTAAAACTTTTGATTGCCTATTTCTGGAATTTTCCTTTTCATACTTTGGATCTGCATAACTAAAGTTACGGAAAGCTGACCTTAAAACGAGGAGAGATTATTGTCTTTATTATTTTGACAGTCTATCTATAAAGCAGCCTAAGCAGACACTGTCAGGCACAAAAAAATGAACAAACACCATTCTTGAAAAAAGTACTGATGATTATTACCTTTGGGAATAATTTTGTAAAAGATGTTGATTAGTTTTTTAGATCACTGAGAAAAGCGCTTTCAATTCTATTTAAAAGATCTTGCTGTGATAACAGAATGTCTATTATTTTAGGTCCAAAACCAGGGAGTTGATACACTGCTGAATCGAGCATATTGCCAGATATTCATTTATCTTTCAGATTTAAAAATTGTTACAACAGATTACATTACTTCCTTTAACTGTTCACCTCCAAGAAACAATACTGAATGTTTAGCTAGTAGTCTAATGAAATCAAGGCATCTGAAAGGCAAAATGGTGAGCTTTTTAATTAATTTAGTTATGGAAGCTTAGAAAGAAACAAAATATTTAAAAATCAAAACTTCCAGTTGGGCAGCTAAGAAACTTTTGGGACATCATCGCCATTTAACGGATTTTGAATTTATGCTCCTGCCTATATGAAATGTTCAGAACAAACATCTATTCTTCATCTCTCCTCTCACCCTTCATCTGGGTAGATTTTACTTATGCACTAGACGACCTTTGTGGCCATTAGAACCATCTTGCTTCAGCAGTTAATTAACACAAGTACCATAATTTAATACAGTTAATGCTACTTGATGCCCTTTAATGTACCTTCCATTAGTGATATTATTGTAGTATTACCCTGTAAATTAAAATGAGATCAAGACTAAGAGAGCTGCTCTTTAATTAAGGTACTGGCACACTGTGCTTGTCTATTATTCACTAGAGAAAATCACCCTGATTTACTGAAGCGGACATCTATAAGTCAGAATTAGTCCATGAAGATTATTAGTTTTATTGAACAGTGTAAGTGCCATGGAGTCACTAAGACTGCCAATAGCCGTGTTTCCTTGTTTTCCTCCATTATCTTAATAAATATAGAATGAGAAGGGAGTAAATGAAAAAAAGTAAGCATGTAGCAATAGAAGAATAAAGTTTTTATGATGACATTGCAGTTTTTGTTACCAGTAAAACAGGTATCAGGTGTATTGTATCGCATGCTAAAAAGAACTTAAATGCTGCATTAATCTAATGATACTCAAAAAACATCATTTTTACATCAAACAAAACTAGTCAGTTTAAAATGCACACATACCCACCGAAGTCAAGAATTGGAATGCATTGTCAATTTAAAAAGTCAGTAAATATTTTTGTTTAGTAGATTAATATTTCAATATAAAAAATTCTGAGACCTGTCTCAACTATTCTGTGGATATTTACATCTGATTTCTGTGCCACTCTCCCAAAATAAAACTTATCAATTTCCACACTTTGCTGGGAGTGGTGTTGGAAGTGACAAGTCAGACAGCATCATTATCATCATCAGTTACAGACACGCAGAGGCATGTAACAAGGTGCAATCATTTCATGGGACACAGTGGCTGCGACACAGGAAACAAAGACCTCAGTCATATTTTGCAAAGTTTGCAATGATGATAGAATGAGAAAATTTTAAAACAGAAATTATAAGGTAACACTCAATCCTTCTAAGGGTGATTTGTATCATAAAAGAAAGACAACATAGTCCATTAATCCTACGGAAATTTCAAGGGTAAATAAGCACAGCAGTGCCCCTGCTGAATGGCCCCGTGAACCAGGCTATTGCTCAACCTTTCCCTTTAGTGGCTCCGTCATGAGCAAGTCTTCCTTATATAACTTAAAAGCTGGAGACACGCCCGAGCCGACAGGCCTTGCTTCTGTGGTCCCTCCCCTAAGACTAAAAATACTCAGGCCATCTGGTGCCTAATGCAGCACATGCCAGCATCAGTTTCGCCCTGAGGAATTTGGACAGAGTGTGGAGGTGACAGAATGGACCTTACGGAAGGGTTCACCTCTACTGGCCCTTTCTCTCTTGCCCAGCTGCTTCTTATCAGCTTGCAGTTGACACGCGAGCAGGAAGACCGTGGAGGTGAGTCCTAGAGAACGGACAAGGGCTACTGCAAGCTTCTCAGAACTGCTTAAGTGCAGTTGAAGGACACTACCAGGGTGAAGGATAAAAGAAAAATGATAATCAGAAGGGATTCTGCATTTGCAACACGCCACCTCGCGGAGATGGTCTGTCTAATTCCAGTGGAGAATCTGTAAAAATGCCTTGGTCCTTAAAATGTATTTTATACCTTTTAAAAATTATCAGTGGAAAGAAAAATTATCTGCGTTGAAAAGGTCTCAACTATGGTTATTTCCCAGCTAAACATCCTCTGAAGATTGCCTTCCTAACAGTAGCAAATGAGAGTGTTAAGGGAATGTTGGTCTCTAGCCCCGTTTGTGCCCAGATTAAGGATTTCTCAATCTGCCAGGCAACTCACCTATGTGAACTTAATCTAACACCATCGATCGCACCAAGATTCAAATTCAAACCTCAATTTATTAATATTGGTCTTTATTCTTACAGCGTTCAGTGTGAATTTGATACTTGTCAGATGATTTTTGCTATGACAAGTAATAACATCATTAATTATTTTCCTGTATCAAATGATGTGATCAGACGTTGGAATTGATATCTTTCACTACAATGTTCCCACATGTAAAGGCATTTTATTAAAAACAGCAAACTCATGCTTCTGACAACAGCTCCCTACACCCCGCCGTGATTCTCTACTAATGTAATGAACTATTCTCTGTAACCTGAGACCTACACATTCAACATGGGTGTAGGTGTGTCAGTGCATATTTCTCTCAACAATGTTATTTCGCTTTAGAGTTATCTTCATTATCTACCACCATGTCTTTGGTTAAAAGCTAAAGATTCTTGTCTCCCACGAAGAACGCAAAGCTACAACAAAGAGGATGGGCCACTTGATCCTGCTACTTTTCCACAGCTGAGATCCTGAAGCTTCTGATCTCACTCAGAATGGTAGTAGCACGCATCCTGTGTGCCTATGATGGGTCTGAGCTCAATAGTAGTGGCCTCCTCTTCCTTTTGGCATGTACATGAGATAACTGAGGAAAAGCGGAAAATCTCGGCAGCTCAGTTTCTGAGGAGTGGTCTTCCAGCATGCAAAATGAGCTCTCCTGAATACGTTGGAATTGCATGGTCACTCACTTAAACCCGCATGACAGATGTAACATTTATATTCTTACCTCTAGGTTTTTGATTTAAAGCTCTTGGCATTTTTAGGGTGATTGCTGCTTTGTTATCTTTTGGGGTTTTTTCGCCTCCCATTTTCGATAACTCCGCTCTTACCTTTAGTTCTTCCCATTCCCTGCCTCATGTTCCCACTTTCATCACTTGGCTATTTTGATAACACGGCCGGCTTAAGACACTAGTTAAAAACCTCAGCTTTGGGAAGTTCTCATTACTCAAGTGTTTCACTTAAATACCCTCAAACTCATTCTTACAAAACTGTTTCTAGCAGATCAAAACTAAGCGTATCCCTGGCTATGTACATTAATGTTCCAACTGCAGTTCAGCTTTAATTCACCTTCAGAGTGAAGGGTATGAAACTCAAGCCCATATTTTAAATTATTTCAAAACAACAGCCTCCAGAAACATTAAAAGTAGAGCTTTCATTTCTTTAACAAATGTGTTGTTTTCGAGTTGCTTCAAGGTTTGAAGTAATAAATTTAAATAAATGTAACATTCTTTTCCAAATATAACATTCTTTTGTCCAATACAACAACTATTATCAGATTGTTGTATCATGCTTCAATCCTCTCTTATATTAAAAAATGCAAGGTTTATTTCTTTTCTTCAGCCCCTTTTAGAGCAACTGGCTTTCCTACCCCTGGCTTCATTGCTTTAATGTCTTAAAAACCACGTTCTGACCTGGGGAGTTTCCTTGTATCAAAGAAGATACATTTTAAGTGTTATTTATTTATTTAGGTGCCTTAAAAAAAATCTAGATTCCTGCCAAGTTCATTGGTAACAAGTCTGGGATTACAAATTGCTGCTGAATACAGGGTCACAGATGCCTTCAGAACCTACTTCTGCACTAGTGTTCCTGAAAAGTGTTGCCTGGGCTTGACAACTGTCACTTCCCAGCGGTAAGGTGAACACACCAGTGTTTTCCTGGGCCCACCCATTCTTATTCAAGGTGGACAGATGTTTTCTTACCTTCCTCGCACCTTTATGTCTGAGATTGCGTAAAAGTAGCGTGCCAAGTGAAGCTCATCTACAAATATTTCCCCAACGGCTGGTCTCAGCAGCCTTATCCTCAGGTCTGTGACTGTAAAGAAATCTCTGAGTTTCTTGGTTGTATCCAGCTGGCCGTAGAGAGAAGCCATATTCCGTAGCCGAGGTCCAGCAAAAAATGCAAACCTATCTTTGATTTCAAAGTGGATAATTTTGCTATTTGTTGAATACCCTGTGGAGTACTCTTCTGTACAAATAATTTCTAAGACTGTGTGCTGTGATAAATCCTTCACGGATTTCGGGTCCATGTGAAAAGCATCTAAGCAGTCTGTGGCATAATACTGATAGGGCTGCCATGTTCGTCCATAATCAAGAGACTTCTCCAGGATCATTTGGTCTGGACGCCCCGATTCAAAAGTAATAACTATGTTGTCTGTGAGCTCAATGGTTTTGCTCCAAGATAGAGTGATGTTAACCTGGAGAGGCTTGGGGTATTCCTTCCAAGTAGCAGACTGCCAAAACGTGGAGGGATGTCTTCCTTCAAAATCAAACATCAGCTCAGGGGGGTGTGCCAGCTCGGGGGTACTTGCGTCACACTCATTATTGCACATGTAGGGGTTGCCCTATGGAAGAAGAAAAAAGAGGGTGCATCAAAAACACTAGTTTGACACCAGTCCTGCCATATTGCTGTTGCTAAGAGGCTAAGAGAGAGAAAAGTTTTCAATAGTTACTTCCATTTGCCCTAGCTGGATTCTCCTATTGAATAGCTTTAAAAAAAAGCAATATATATGTTTTGTCTTATTTCCTTCCATGGGTTTTAAGAAATGAAACAGTTTATTTATCCCATGTGATAGACCCATAATGTGGTCACGGAAGTTCAAAGACACAGAGCAACTGTCTAACAGCTCAGTAGCTCTGCTTCCTCTTAGAAAGATGCTATAGAGAAGCAAGGGAATTTCCTCCCTAACTCAAGGATGTTCCTTTACAGCACAGCTCTTTAAAAGGGCATGTTTCAAGCAAGTCCTTGGAATTAGCTATGAGCAGGAGACACCTGCATCCTGTCTGGGAAATGATACCCCCATACAACGTTCAGCTGCTCTTGGCTTTGCCTCCCATCCATCATACTTAACTGGTTCCCTGCTTCATAAAGTCTGGTTTTAAAACATTTACTTTATTCACCACAAATCATTAAAATGTGGTACACTCCAGGCTCTGGGGCTTGGTCCAAACATCTGCCATTCTATTAACTGGAGATAAAGGGATTTTTCAGGAAAGGCTGGGGGTTGTGTTCCAAGTTGTCAGGATAAGAAAACTCACCACAGTTATCCCTCAGTATCTACAAGCGACTTATTTCAGGACCCATTTGGATAACAAAATCTGCATATGCTCAGGTCTCTTATATAAAATGGCATAGTGTGTACATGGAACCTTTAAAATTTAAAGTGTAAATCATCTTTAGATTATAATACTTAATACAATGTAAGTGCTATGCAAGTAGTTGTTATACTGTATTGTTTAGAGGGTAATGACCTATCTGTCATAAATCTGACTACAGGGCAGACAGAGGAAAGAGGCGAGCAATGCTCAAACAAGTCTGCTAGAGACAAAGAGGTGTGAAACAGCAGAATGCTATGGCAGGGCATGGGTGTACATCTCTTCATTCACATAATTCAAATGTTCAGCATGTGACGGATTCAAGTTTTGCTCTTAGGCACTTTCTGAATTTTTTCCTCAAAATTTTCGATCCACAGTTGATTGAATCTGTGGAATCAAAACCTCTCAATGTGGAGGGCAAACTGTACTCAATTTATGTTTATTTTGTTTTTAAACAGCAAATAATGTCACTGTGAGTCCACTATTCAGGCTCCTCCTTATCCACAAGGAGCATGTGCCAAGAAGCCTCGCGACTGTTTTTCCTATTATATTCACCTGCAGTAAAGTTTAATCTACAAAGTAGGCACAGTAAGAGATTAACAGCAATAAGTAAATAATGTAATAGAACAATTATAACAGCCTACTGTCCTAAAACTTACATGAGCATGGCCACTCTCAGAACATGTGACCATCCTCGTGTTTCCTGTGACGATGTGAGTGGCAGGGCCTGCAGTGATGTGAACGAGTGAGAGCAACACTGTGACCTGGGGATAGCTGCTGAACACAAGCACTGCAATACTGGATGGTTGAGCAGATTCTACGGAACTAATGAGGGCATGTATGCACTGCTCTCGTTGGATAGAGGTGTGATTCATATCCAAGATAGGATAAAGCAGGACAGCACTCAGAATGATGCATAATTTAAAAGGTACAAATGGTTTATTTCTAGAAGAGTCCAGTTAAAATTTTTGGAAATGAAAAAGTTTCAGGTGAAAATGGGTAACTGAAACATGGAAAATGAAACTATAGGTAAGGAGAGCATCCTATATTTCTTTCTTTTCCTATCCTAGGAATTATGAGCATGGATGGATGAAAGAATCGACCCTCTGATACTTCCTTAACCTTTCTTTTGGAATCGCAATTAGATTTCTTTTCTCTTTTTTATGAACTGTGAGCATTTCATACCTGTTGAATGCACAGGATAGTCTCACATAATGAATTTACGCTTTAGATATCAATGTTCAGTTACCTGCTGACTCACACAAAGTATTAGATGAACGTTGGAGAATTTCTGTGGCCTCCCCAGAGGCGCCTTTCTCCTACCTCGTCAGCTAATACACTCTCTCTTGCCCATTAATGCAACTGAATCCTAAAGCTGGCAACAGGTTTGGGAGACTGAAGTATAATTGAGATGAGGCAGGAGAAAATGGAGAAGGTACATTATTTGAGGAACAGAACTGTTTTAAAAATACACTGAAGAAATCAGTGATAATGGAAATGTTTCTGTACTACTTTCTCAAATTTCAATTCCTTATTCCTGATCCCAGCGTCTGTGGCACTATTTATAGGCATCCACTTCAAAAGGAGCTGGGGGGGGGATACATTTCTATTCCAGGTGGAATAAATCACCAAATTTATTATTATTTAAACTCTCTTAAGCATGCCAGCGAGCCAAATGTAAAGTTCTGCAAACTGGCAAAGGCTTTTTATGGAGGGCTATAAATATTGTAGAATCTGTCAGGATTTATAAATTCTAAATATATAGAAATGTGCATTTTACTGGAAGGGGTCAGATTTACAGAAATCACACCTCCATTTGAAATTTACTGGAAAAATATGATCACTTCCAAATCTGTCAGTATGTAGCCATCTGTACAATCATTAACTTGGACATTACCATCTTCCTCCTAGTTAAAGTGTCTGCATATGAGGTCAGGAGTATGGGAAAAATGGAATCAGCTCTATAGGATGCCCAGAACAAGTCACTATATATTTGCATTAAGCTGTGTTAAAAGACAGGCTTTGCCTGCCTCAGTCTAAGCGCACAGAGCTTTTCAGATGAGGGCAAGGTGTCGAGACCACATGAAGACGAGATACAGGCTGATTCCAAGTATGGGTCAACACTAACAAAACTGTTTTAGAAAATATCCCTAAAGAAATCTAAAAGGCGTGTGTTCCTACATTCAATAAAAGGAGTTTGGCAACATCCAACTACAATGAGTCCTTATGTGTTAGGAACTCTAAAGATACCTGACAATCTCTTTTATTCCTACCTCACAGAGGAGGAAACTGAGGCATAATGAAGCATAAAGGACTATGCCTGAGGTCACATAACAAAGTGTGAGAAGCAGGGACAGAATCTCTCCACCTACTCCTGCCCTGGTCTGTTCTATGCCCAAGTCAATGGAATTTCTTATATTGTCCTGCCTTAGAATAAGGATTGGTTGGTAGAAAGAAAATTTCTAAGATCAAACGAGTTTGTGTGAAACAGTCTAAGATCCCTTCTCAGCCCTAATGAGCATTACCATATATCAGGGAAGCCTTGAAGTTCAGAACCTTGATTAGTTTAAAAAACGAATACTAGTTTCACAAATTTGTTTGACTATGGAGTCCCTTTTGAATTTATTGACCCATACTTATATTCCACATAAGGAGTACCTATTATTCTTAATGCTGTAGACACGTGGAAGCCACGTGCCACCCTGCAACCAAGTTTTAAGCCTTGGATGAAGTCGTGGCCACGGAAAATGCTCTTTCTCTGCTTCTGTTCTCTAGGGAGGGGAACCGTTGACTTTGGACGCAGTGGGACAGCCAGCTCTTGGTAAGAGTGGACAATGACATCAAGGCCTCACAAAACTCTGGTGTTTTAGGCACCTGAATGATGAGAGAAAAAAAAATCTCCTGCATTCAGTAAGTATTGATTGCCTACTATATTAGTCTAGTCAAGGCACTCATCTTGGCACATAAGATATAGTAATAAACAAAATCTAGGTTCTTACTTCGTTTGGCATTCCACCCTTGTTGGATGGAAAGAGATGCAAAGGAACATAATGTTTCATAATGTTATACAGTGATAATTACTATGGAAAAAATAAAGCCAATTGAAGGGGATGCATTGGGGAAGAAATGGTGATTGTAATTTGATATTGGGAGGTCAGAGAAGGTCTCCCTGAAAACATGACAGCTGACCACATAGAGAGCAATTCCCAGTTTACACTGGAGGTGAACAGAAGAGGCTGATCAGGATGGCAGTTTTGTCCTTCATCTGATGCTACTTTTATTTTCAGTCCCATGAAAATTTGTTGCAATAGATGAATAAACAAATCATTTGAAAGGGGAATCTATACCAAATAACTGTAGATAACAAAAAAATGAAAAAGAATCAGTTGGAAAGTTTTCCATATTTCATAGCACTCCTCCTCTTTTAGATCACAGCTTAATGATCATTAACCCAATTTACCAAGAGACAGCAACACTGCGAGAAAATTAGCAAGGGATAGTAAAAAAGGGAGTGAATGTCACTCTGGTCTCTGCGTTTTAGGTAAGAGAGAAAGGAGAAAGGGACAAAGCTGAAGTTGAAAATCTTGCCATTCCCAATAGAGAAAACTAGACAACAGATTATGAGCAAAAATATTTAGTGTAAATATTTCATATGGGTGTGACTCATACTAATGTTGTTATACAGAATTATCAATATGAAAACAATTCTTCTTAAAGGGATTAACTTAATTACATTTTCAACTACTTCAGCTCCACCCTAATCCTTTTAAATAACATTAACAATGAAATTTATATAAGAAAAAAGCAACTTTTCCCTATTTACAAAAGCAAAGAGCACTTCTTACTGCTAAACTTAACTGATTCTGGCATCAGTAAGTGTAAGTAATTATTTTGTGGCCAGCAGGCAGCCTTAAGTAGATCTTAATTTAATTCTTACAAGTAATGGATCCTTAGCTCATTGTCTATGGACAAAGCAGAAAATATTTATGACTATGCAGACAATATTTACACCACAAAGAGATGCTTAAATAATTGAATAGATATTGGTGCTAAATATTTTTCTAACAATAAGAAGATTGTGGTATTTAATTTCATTAAAATATTAATATTTTACCTCTGGGAGAGTTGAAATTAGTTATTAATTAGCAATTTGTAGCAAAAGTGGAATGTTGTTATTGTTCTTTAATGTGCTTTCAGAATTAGAGTCCTAAGTAAAATTTGAGACATGCTGTCACTGTTTCTGTGGATG